CATTGTAAAATCCTAACAGGACATGCGCACTGCAATAAAAAAGTTTTTGAATAATTCTTCAGAAATTTTGTTATATCATTGTAAAATCCTAACAGGACATGCGCACTGCAATAAAAAAGTTTAACTTTTGAAATTCTAACTTGTCTATATCTTTTTTTTAAATTTAATCGTTCTCCTTTCATCAATTATTTCATGGGTTGTTTTCATAACACTGGATCTGTCACTCATTATCGATGTTAATGATAATTATAATTTATTTAAGTTAATACTTTCAAAGGTAGCTGATTCATTAAGAGAATCTTGAGGAACTTTTGCGACTGTCCGTGAATCTTCCTGTGTAACAGACTTGTAGCCTAAACATAAAGTTCAATTTTTAGTTTGTACACCTAAATCAAGATTTTTCCATTACGGCCCATTCCATCTGCAAATATGTTGAAATTATTAGCATTTGCTAAAGTTTCACTTGCTTGATGTTTTGTCACAAACTTTAGCACATATGTTAGATATTGTAGTTGTACATGGAAGTTCAACAGACGCGTTGAACATCACTCACAACTTTAATAAAATTTGAAATTTTATTTGTTGGTATATCATTTCCCTGAAGTTCCATAACACACGTTCTTAAAGTTTCAGAATATCTTCTACCATTATAAGTTGATACATCATTATCTTCATTTGACAGAAATTTAATTTATGATTTCTTTTCATATATTTCTTTCTTAAGGTTTATATTCTCATATTCTTTGTTCTGTAAATGAACACTTTTGATATAAAAAGAATTAAGGTATCCGTCCCATAATTAGCAAATAAACAACAAGCAAAATAATTTACATTTTTATCAATCTCTTGGGTCCAAGAGTTATTACTATGAAATAAAAATCCGCAAAATATTTGAGGTTAACAACAGAACTGGGTTACAGTGCCCCCTTTTTTTTTATCCTCAAATGCCAAATTAGGGGTTTAAATAGTATGTAATTTTAAGAAACCTATAGAGTATAATTTACAAATCTATCTTTCAAAAGGAACCTTACAATTTACCTTGTAAAATTAAACAAAAAAAAAATAAATTGCATTTTTGCTATTCTGTTTTTAGAAATGTGTTATTGTTACTAATAATAGAAAATGGAGAAAAGTCTAAAATTTGTCAATCTTATATCTTCACCAGTTCAAAAACAATTATCTTAGCGGAGCATTCAAAATTGACACTTAAATTAACTTTACATATTGTTCCATCCTAAAAAAAAATTTTAGAAACTTTTACCGTACCGATTTCTAGAAATTTTGATTTATAATGTCAAGGTCATAGTTACTAAATGGAGACGTGATATCACAGTTCTTATCTTTTTTGGTAAATTCATGTAAATCTTTAACAAAATTCACCATACTTCATATAAACTTATATTTATAATAAACTCTGATATCTATGGCATGTAAAGTTCAAAAGGTCAAAGGTCAAGGTCATTTTTGGAGCTAAAATAAGTCAATAATCTCCTTTTTTGCTGAATTTTCAAAAGTATATCTACCTATTGGTCCCATAATCTTCATTACCTTTGTTAACTATGACCATTTGATGATATTCAAAAGATCAAGGATTGGTTTCAACCTTTAGGGGTCAACAGGTCAAAGGTCAAGTAATTCTAGGAGCTAGAATTAGACAGTGACCTCCTTTTTTGGCTTAATTTTCAAAAGTAAACTAACCTATAGGTACTATAATCTTTCATTACATTTGTTGATTATGATAATTTTATGATATGCTATCGATAAAGGATTAGCTTCAACCTTGAGGTCAAAAGGTCAGAGGTCAAGGTAATTTTAGGACCAGAAATAAGACAATTCTCTCTTTTTTGATTATTTTTTCAAAAGTAGGTAATTGAAACATGTCAAAATTAGGATGAATTAAAAGTACAGTACTTAGTATACATATTTATATACTTTCATTTCTATATGCCCTTGAAATTTGACCCTTTGACCTAAGGGTTGAAGCCTATCCTTTATCTATTGAATATCATCGAATAGGACCTATTGGTAGAAACATTTATTTCAGCAACATGGTAAAAATACATGTATGGATATATGTCATGTCTGTATATGTATGTGAAAATTTAACTAGATATCATTGAGATGGGAGCCATCTCTGTGGGCCCCGCTGTGAATAATGTGTGGTAAAAAATTTGTATCATTGGACATGGGGTTGTAAACTGAAACCAAAGTTTTTGACCTTGACCTTTGACCTAGCAAGTTTTACATAAATTATGACACACCCTCTGGTGTGGGTTTATATACATGTCAATTATAAACTTTGAAATCATAACGGTTCTCAAGATATAGAGCGGACACGATCTTTACCATAGGACACAATTCGTTACGGACTGACAGACGGACAGACTGATCACTATAGGGCGTCCGCCATTCGGGGGTGGGGGCCCTAATAATGTGTTTTATAGTTGCAAAGTCATTTGTTTATGGTTTTTGAAGAATGTAATCATAGACAATATTTATGGTTTTGCTACATATTTGCGATTTGGTCCAATGTGTAACACCAGACATCACATGAACAGCATCAGGCTTTATTGAATGCATTTTATTCATTTATTCAAACCAGCATTAACCAGAGCTCACTAAAGGATACCCCATCATTCCTGTTCCACATTGAACTCAGTTAGGTAAATTATCTCCCTCGAAATATTTTTGATCAGGTTTATACTTCTTTATGCACATAATAAATAATAGAAACCTTCTATAATGATATTCAATAAACTCAATCACATTTCAATATTTATTTGCACATTATCATGATTTTTTAAAAGAAAGTATAACATGGTCATGATGGTTCAGAGGATACAAATAAATATGATCATATTTATACAATCAATATTAAGATTTTTATTATAAAATATGTCAGTAAAGTAAATTCTGATTGAATTACAGATAAATTTTCGGTTTAGAAAAAGCAAGAAAGCTTACAAGAGTGGACACGTCATACCTTTTTTCAGTGTTCAATATTGACTTATGTTGAAGTTAAAAAAGAATAATATTACACTAAAAGTAATACATTAAATTAGCATTCCAATGATCAATGTATAATTTGAAATAAAGGTGAGATAGATACATGTAGGCTGGACAATCATTTCAAAAAATTTGGTTTAGAACAAACCACATCAGGAAAACTGAACTTTGACTAATGAACCACACAATGAGGTCAAGACAGAAAGACATGTACACCTTACGATAATTGACTTATCACTAATATTATCTGGGAAATTAGCCAAACTTTAAAAGATTAACAAGGATAAATAATCCGTGAAAATCAGGTCAAGATCAGAATAAACTTGCCAAATGGACATACACACTTTACCACACTTATTACATACACCAAATATGGTTGACATGTCCTTACAGTATCTGATAAACAGACCAAATAGAGAAAACTTACATTGAACGATAAACCATGAAAATAAAGTCAAGGTCAGATGACACCTGCCAGACAGATATATACACCTTGCAAACTTTATATAAACAAATTAAATATAGTTTACCTATTACTAACTAGTAATTGAAAAAAGACCAAACAAAAAAAAAATTAACATTGATCAATAAACCATGAAAATGAGATCAGGATCAATCATACAATACACCAAATATGGCAAACCTATTGCTTTTTCAATCTGATATATGGACTTGACCATGAATACATAACTTTGTTCACTGATCCATGAAATGTGGTCAATGTCAAGTGAAAACTGTTTTACAGACACGAGGAACTTGCAATGCATGCTCATAGCAAATACAGATATCCTTATATTCATAACAGAGAATTAACATTACAAAACATTAAAAATATATTGCTTCGCTGAGCGCAGCTGGATACGACTGCAGATGTCCAACCCTGAAAAGTTGGGGCCAAAATAGACACAATATTCACGCTTGATACAGGTCTGAATTTGGATTGTAATTAAATTTTTGACACATAATAGGTTTCTGACACAGAATAACTGTAGTCAAAGAACTTCAAATTGGTTATATGATTTGAATTTATATTCAATTTTTTGCTTTTGTGCAATAAACTATGCGAATTGACCCCCCCCCCCCCCCCCCCCTCCAAAAAAAAATTTACCCCGTTTTTTTGTGCAATACACTATGCTGTTGAATATTAACCCCCAAAAAAAAAATATTTGAAGAAATTTTCTTTTAATTTCTGAAATCTGAAATGAGAAAAAATTGTTCCCCTCCAATTTTTTTCACCTCCCCCCTTTCCCTTATTCAAAAAAATAATTCTTTCCCTCAAGTTATGGTCAGTATCTCAGACAATCATCATTTCTTAATACATAATTTACAAGCAGTGTAAGGACGGTAATCAAACATTGTTATTTTAACTGATTTGGATTTTGATTTGGATTACCTCCCTTACACTGTTTTAAATTGTCCCAATTGTCCTTTAACCAGAAAACCCTTGTTTTCACCTTTTTTTGCCCCTAATTCCTAAATGGTTTGAGCCATAACCCCCCAAAGTCAATCCTAACCATCCCTTTATAGTATGGAAACTTGTGGTATAATTTCAGAGATTCATACACTTTAACACAAGTTATTGTCTGGAAACTACAAAAATGCTTATTTGGGCCCCTTTTTTGGCCCCTTATTCCTAAACAGTTTGGATCATAACCCCCAAAATCAATCCCAACCTTCCTTTAGTGGTTATAAACCTTGTGTTAGAATTTTTTTGATTTATATTCACTTATACTAAAGTTATTATCCGGAAACTATCTGTTTTCTGACGACGCTGACGACGACGACAGCGTGATACCAATATACGACCAAACAATTTTTGTGGTCGTATAAAAATTGCTGAGAGCTTCAAATATCTGTAATGCAGCAACAACTTTTCTCTTTTGTCTAAGGTTGGTCAAATCCCACACAATTCCTGTTATGTCTTCAGCTCCTGATAATATTGGAGCTTTTGGTACCAAATAACATAAAAACTGGCTGCCAGTTTCATGTTCTACATCTGTTTGATATGAGGGATAACATCTTGCCTAACTGGAAGTAAAAAAGAAAATTCATTGCGAATTAATTAAAACTTTTAAATTAAGCATTCTCAAGAAGAAAAAGTATCATTATAGTATATGGTTGTGGATAGCAGATTTCAGATTAGCAGGGGGGGGGTGGGGGTCGAATTATACATTTCCTTTAAATGTCCAAGCACTACATGTATAACCACCACCCATCAAATTTTAATAAAGTGCCTTCCTATCCTATCAATTAACTCTGGAAAATCCCTAACACAGATGTTCTCAACTTGTTTAAATAGTATAAGGCTATTAGTTTTCTCGTTTAAATTATTTCACATTTGTCATTTCAATGCCTTTTATAGCTGAGTGTGCGGTATGGGCTTTGCTCATTGTTGAAGGCCATACAGTGACCTATAGTTGTTAATTTCTGTGTCATTTGGGTTCTTGTGGAGAGTTGTCTTTTTGGATAGCATACCACATCTTCTTTTTTATACATGTATAAGGGGTTTTAAAAAAGGAGATTGTAAAGTTCTAGATTTCATTTTTCTTTTTTTTTTAATAGAAGCCATTGATTTTCAAATATAGCACTGTTCAAACATAATTGATTATATGTCAGTTAACATACTCATATCCGTTGTTTCCAAGTCCATTACAATGAAGGATGTAGGAGTGTTCATAGGTCCCTCAACTTTTGAAAATGTCGGCTTTGGTGTGGCATTTGGTAGCTGGTGGATATCTGCATCTTGATCTCACAGGCTAATTTCTACAAGAAGCAAATTAGTTTTACAAATATGTACACACCAGAATTCACTCAGTAATAGGGATTATAAGTTTGATAAAGGGCAAATTTCTAATAACATTCAATCTAGTTTAACCCTGCCACATTCTGTATGTACCTGTCCCAAGTCAGGAACCAGTAAATTACTAATTCAGTAGTTGTATTTTATTGCTGTATATCATATTTTGTACATTAATCAGGCAGCTAGTTTTCTCCTTTGAATTGTTTATAATTTGTCATTTCATGGCCTTTTACAGCTGAGTATGTAGTATAGGTTTGTCTCATTGTTGAAGGTTGTATGGTGACTTAAAAGAGGTTCATTTCTATATCATGGTGTATTGGGGAGAGTTTTCTTATTGACAATCATACCACATCTTACTTTCAAAATGGCTCTGTACCAATGCAAGCATTATAAATATTTTATCCAACTTTATCATGTGTTTTGTAGATTAAATTTTCAAACTCTTTCCAGTATTAGATAAATTATGGACAAATAGAGAAACAAATAGACTAAAAATCTGGTAGTATATATATCAGCTTTTAAACAGGTTAGATAACTCTCTAATACGTGTAAACATGGTATATATGTGTTCATGTTTCAAATCTATCTTTTTTCAAGACAAAGCATATTTATAACAATTAACACATACATATATCTTAGAAAACTGTTCTATTTATTACCTATGCCCATCTGTGTTTGTCTGTGTATTAGGTAGCATAAGTTCTCCAGAGTCAATAACAAGGTAAGCATCTCTGTAATTAAAAAATATCCTTGTCATCATTTATACCTTGATATACAAATGTAAATAAAATTTTGTTATAAATTGTATCTATATAAGTTGGAATCAGACAGATAAGCACTAGTAAGAATGTGCTTAACTCTTTTCTTAAAGTTCATAGTTTAAAGTAAAACTTCACCTGGTTCAGACTGTCACACTGCTATAACATCTATCATTTCAGGATAGGTATATGCATTTTCCAATAACTCATCATGACCAGTGCTGTGAATCATAAAAGAAGAAAAAAATTATATACACATGTGCATGTTTCAAATAAGTTTAGGTACAACAACATTTATTTCATTCATTTATCAATTACACTACAACAATTGACAACAAAATTGCTATTAATCTGAACACAAAAAAACCTGTGTGCAACATACACAGATAGACTTTATATCATGATGTTTTAATTATTTCCTGCACCCTAAATGTACATGTAAATTAACAGAAACAGATGACAGAAATACATGTAGCTTAATATAAATGAAAGATGAGTATGTAAAAAACATACACATGTACATGCAAGGTTGGCAAAGTATTACCCGGGCGGAAAACCCAATGTGAGATATAGGCTATTTGTCCAGGTCTTGACAATTCAAATATTTGCTATATTGGCGGCGAATCCAGGCTTTCCAAAAAGGGGGGGGGGCCTGCTACATTCCTTTGGATGATAATCAAAAATATCTTCAACTTACCTAATCAATTAGTGTTTTGTAGGCTTGGAGGGATTAATGTCACATCTTTAACAAGGATGGTTTCTCTAAAAAATGAAATATAAATTTATTATACAAAAATGTACTTGTTCATTTTGATAACACATATGGATAAGGAATGCACATGTACATGTATAGCAGTACAATGTACATGTATGTACAAATGATGTTTGTAATACAAATTTTCTTACCAAATACAATAAAGTGAAAAATATTATAAAAACACATGAAAAAGCCATTTGCCAATGTAATAAAAAGAATAATTAATCAAAGAATTCAAATATTGAAAAGCTTTATGCACCTTGGTGAATTAATGTGTTGTTCGGTCAGTCGTTGAATATTTTTCTGTACTTGCATTCTTCGATTAGTTATTCTATAAATAATATTAAAAGTATGGATATCAGATTAAAATGGGAAATACATGTAAAGTATCAACTTTTTTTAACACTCATAAAAGTTAAACAGAATAACTCCTATAGATATGAAAGGTCATTAGTTTTTTTGCTCTTCATTTATGTATCTTTGTATCCTACATGAGCATTCAACTTTTATTCAAATACTGATTAAATTATTAGATGATTTTTTGATGTATATTATCAAAGTATATACTAGAGTATATATCAATTTATTAATGTTGTGGCAGTGTCCGTGTCCATGTGACAAGTTTGATAGCCATTGTTGGTTCATCCTACCATGCCAATTCAACTTTTGAACATGTTAGAGGGCAGCCGTGAATCCCTCAACTGTCTTATAGCATGCAATGTTTTCTTCCTATTAGTTCCACTGCACTTTTGTTCAATGCTTTCTTGCAATTGTTTTTAAGATGTTTGTGTTTGACTAAAGTTTTTTGCCTTGATTTGGTGTAAGTTCCTGAATTATTACAAACGTGAAGTTCGTGAACTGACCGACCTGGATTAAAAATAATCTAGCTTTTCATACATGTATCATGACATTACAGGTATACATAGGTATATCAGAAGTCCTTTACTAGACTAGTAACGGACTTCTGATTACATATATATCATTTACACGGAAGTCAGTTGGCCAATGTGTACATGATGTATATGAAAATGTTGTCCAATTTAAGTTTTAAAATATTTAGATTTGTAAATGCAAATTACCTGCTCAAAGTTTTACACTGAGGCTTGGCATCCCCTTGGCCTTTGATTTACTAGGGTCTCTTTGTTGGGAACCATAAGGAACTCGGTTCAATTCCATACAAGAGATACACTGAACATATAAATACAGAACTTTAAATTGTCTAAAAGAACGGTCCATTCAACAAATCGTCTCCTAGAGCAGAGGACCAAGGCAAGTGCGTGATGTGTTGACTTTCCTACTATCAACTAAACTTCCTATTCCGGGGCAACAAATTTCACAACCAGTTGCATCCAAACTGCACACATGACTCCCACATAGCGAAAAGACGAAGAGACGTCAATCTGCGTACTTTGTTCGGTAAAACGCCCTCGTCTGTCTCGGCAGCCGATCGAGTCGTCCATATTTGTTTACCATAACTTCTATTTCCGGATTGACACAATTTTGACAATAAGTAAGCCTTTCGGATATTTTAGGAATCATCTTAAAAATAATAGTTATACTTTCGCTTACTAGGCGTAAAATACCGAGGTGTTGAGAAAATTGAGACTTCGGTAAACTCCGGAAAATTTTCCGGAAATCTTTATTATGGGTCGAATACCTTATAGCTGCAAGCGTTATTTTTTCAGTTTTCTCAATTTGTCTTTTAAATCCCTAATTTTATTATTGATTTTCTATGATTTTTAATTGTTGTTTTTCCTTGAATTCTAGACTTCTTTCCAAACGTTTAAATTTTTTGCATAGATTTTTTTTAAAGCATATACCACGTCGCTTAATTGTCTCATTTTCCCGTTTTAAAATTATATTCCTTCTTCTTACAAGTTGTGCATGTTTTAGTCTTATATTCTGTTTAATGTTTATAAATGAATGATGATCATCCACACTTCCCTTTGAACTAGCCCACTATCAAAAAAGTGTAAAGCATCCTAACCTAATAATTTCTTTTTATTGATGAAATCTGAAACATCACATTCTCCATTCACTCAATTTAAGCATTCTTCAACATTGAGTATTGGCCATTTCGTTAGCGTAACGTTAAATGTTATTGTAAAAGCGTCATTAGAAACAAGTAATTTGCGGGGTTAAAACAGGTTACTTTAGTTTCAAATAATCAACACTTTCAGAAATAAAAGTTGTCAGCTTTATTATGATTTGTTTTTTAACTTAAAATTTTGTTTGAAATAGATCTAAAACTTCAAATCTTTATTTGAAATTTTTTTTTAAACAATAAAAGTGTTTTTTGTAAGAAAAATGTATGAACAGAAAATACGAAACAAATGCTTTTAAATGACCATATAACGTGCTAATATGGCGAGTGGCTCACTCACCACCGAGGTAGTAAAATTGGAAGTTAATACTGCGAATTAAAATTTGAACAGGACGTCATTGAAAAGAGAACGAAAGATGTTATTGCGAATTTTTAAAGTCTGGTGTAATTTATTTATATGAAAAGAATTTTATCACGATGATGATGCAAATTTTCCCAATCAGATTTATATTGTTTTCATCATTCATTATAAACATTAGACCTGTTAAGGATGTAATCTTTTGACGTTTCAGTCTCATTGAAATCTCGTTCTGGAATTATTTCCAAAACATGTGATACAAATGGAAACTATCAATGAATTTTAAAAATGTTATTATCAAACTTAAATCTGTGAAAAAAATTTGTATTTACAACAAGTAGTTTTTGAGTAATAAATTTTTCAAATTTATCCCCAATCAAGTCAGTCTTTTTAGCCAAAATTTTGAGAAAATGGATGAGGGGTACAAGAAATGATTTAACCAGAAACATGTACATCCCATATCACTTTTTTCTATTCAAATTTCTTAGATATGTATTTTTTCAATTATTTATAACAAAGAAGTTGAAATAATATGCATTTTGTTCTTAAAATAGAGAAAAATTACAAATTTACAAAATTGTAAATTTGACACGATAAAGCATCAAAATATGATAAAACTTTCTTATATTTACACCTACCTATAGTTTTGTTTAAGTTAGTTTTATTCAGATTGGTCCACTCCATCTATATTGAAAGCATGAAAAAAAGTTTAATTGTGGAACTGTGATTTTTTTTCACCATAATAGCCCAAAAATGGGTAAAAAGTGATGAAAAATGGAAAAATCATCAAAATTGGGTACTTTCAATGGGCCGTATCAAAAAAGAAGTGCACCACCATATGATTTTTTTCTCACCAACTGTTTTTTAGGTTAACAAAAAAAGGTTAAATTCTAGAAAATTTTGGCTCCTCAGAGGTGTACATCCTTAAAGAATGTTTTGAAAATTAAAGAAAAAAAGCGGCCGTTTAAATCCGACGTCAAAATAGCGTCATTTGTCATACCTAATGACAGTTGTTTTCCATTCGTTTAATGTGTGTGGGCTTTTGATTTTGTCATTGTATAACAGACTTTCCCTTTTGAATTTTCCCTGGAGTTTGGTATTTTTTGTTATTTTACGTTAGAACAGTTAGCTCATTGGTGATAAGACAAAACATCTTTATTTTAACGTAAGTGACATTTTCGTGTTTTTTGCATCCAAGGTGTTCTATAATTTAAAACGGGGCTGGGCTATTCCATTATCATTTCACAGCATTTGTTTCTGCAACAGGTGTAAGCTATTTTTTCGACGGCATTCAGCGGAATCAAATGACTTGAATTTTTGGTAGTTTTGAATGAACATTGTGCACTGACACACCCTAAATCAAGGAACTGAGAGGTCCAGAAACAACCAAACATATAACAATACATCTTCTTAATGTGTTTTCAGACGATGAATGCATTGAAATTACTACTTCTTGTTTGAGGACAAAGTTTAAAGAAATCACAAAAAAGCCATTATGATAATGGAAGTTTTTAACGAATTTGACTGGCTATGCAGCCCTCGCACGGTTTTATCATACCCCATCTCCTTATTTTTATATTGTGGCAATCTCTGACCGGAATGGCTTTCAATAGACAGCTTTATCACGGAAGTTTGCCTTTTAATGCTGTAACCTTATTGATGAAATTGCTCACAAAATATGTTTTAACAAAATTACGAACTCAAACTTGAATTTAGAAAAGGAGAAATTCGTTAAAACCTGATAAAACCAAAAGCTCGATTAAATCAATTAACGGAAAGAATAGAAAATAAGCTATATATTTCTCACTTGGTACAGGCACTTAAAAAAAAAGAAAGAGCGGGTCAAACCCAGTTGAATAGATAGCTAAACCTCCAACTTATCTTACAGCTGTTTTAAGTTTTTTTTATTGACAAAATTGTGTGACAGTTATTGGGATCCATCGGCCAAAATTATGTAAACATACATAACAGATATACAACACAACTGACTTTAGAAAAGTACAAACACACATACAAATAAATCTGAAAAAGACATGAAAGACGCTACAAAAATGTATTTATGGTTGATATTACAGTATTACCTGATTAAGTGAAAATTAAGTAAAAAATAAAAATACAAGGGTATACAAAATGAAAACAAAAACTTTAACATTTAACGCAGCTGTAGCACACATCTGGACCGATCTGCATCAAGAACGACTACAGCCAAAATCAACACAAATAGCGACCCACGTCAAGAGTTACACGACAAAATAGAAAATAATGGAAGAAAAACAAATAAAGAGAAAACTGTAAAGTAAAAAACCAAAATACATCACGTCAGCACCTATAATCTATAACTCACTTTTATCCTGTAAACTCTTGAATACTGTATAAATACAATCCACTTTCCTTTTCACCACGAATGTGACCTAGCGAATTAGACTATTTACAGGGTTTGTAATAACATGAGCAACACGACGGGCACCACATGTGGAGCAGGGTCTGCTTACCGAAAACCCTTCCGGAGCACCTGAGAACACCCCAGTTTTTGGTGGGGTTCGTGTTGCTTAGTCATTAGTTTTTTATGTTGTGTCTTTTGTACTATTATTTGTCTGTTTGTCTTTTTATTTTTAAGCCATGGCGTTGTCAGTTTATTTTCGATCTATGAGTTTGACTGTCCCTCTGGTATCTTTCGCCCCTATTTGAGAAATATATACTCCACACACGAGTGAAGTAGGTATCATGCTGCTGAGGTGAGGGAAATTTATAATTTCAAAATTGAAATTGTCATAGATTCTGGTATTGAAACGACTGTTGGAGTCAAAATCGAGGTATATGTCTAAAAATAAGGCAGAGAAAGCCGTGTCTGTTGTTTTTTGAATCTCTAGTTCAGGAGGATATATAAACGAGGACCAATTCAGAATAATTTGGATTTTTAATGGAAAGATCATCATCAATATACACGTTTGTGAATTGAATAATCCGGCTTCTTTGATCTTCTGTTTTTTTTTAAAGTGTCTGAAGGAACTACGACTAATATGAAAATAAGAAAAGGTCAGCAGCGAAAGGCGCACTATTGGTTTTCATGAAACGCATAAGAATAAAAAATGTCAAGAGTAAAGAACCTATGATGTCATAAATTTGCTTAAATTGACACATCTGAAGAAAAATGTCAATTTTTAATATATAAACAAAATGCTTTCTTTCATTTTAGCTAGTTTCAATGCTGAAGAGTTTGTTAATGATACGGAGGGATTAGGAAATATTGTAGGAGCAACGATGGATTCAATTCATCATATGCATATAGAGATAGAAGAAAAAGAGCATGTAAGATATGTCTATTCATTTATACGCAACGCTTTGAAGAAGCAGAAGTATATTGTTTTTGGCCCGTCCTTCTGTCACTCTGTCAGACTTTTAGTTTTTGGATGTTAACCAAAGTTCGATCTTTATCGGATTGTGATCTTTTTTGAACAAACATTCACATAGAAGAAGAGGAAGATCCCTATTGATTTTAAGGTCCCCATCGGAGTATTAAACAAGATTTCCCACTGATGCCGTTGATACCATTCTAAGTATACAATATGTGTTACGTGGATGTTGAGAGAGGCGAAAGATACCAAAGGAACATTCCTACTTATTTGCTTTTGTTGTTGTTGTTATTTGAGGGAATGTCACAATATTTCTTTGACATATAAAATTAAGAAGATGTGAAATGATTCCCTATAAGACAACTCTCCACAAGAGACCAAATGACAGAAATTAACAACTATAGGTCACCGTACGGCCTTCAACAATGAGTAAACCCATACCACATAGTCAGCTACAAATAGCCCCGAAATGACAAATTTAAAACAATTCAAACCAGAAAACTAATGGCCTAATT